TATTTGTTCATGAATAATTGAATCCTTGGCTCGTCCCAAAACATTCCCTCTTAATCATGCAGAGGTTTCAATGAGTTTTAAAGTACACAGCAAAAACAGCAAAGTGGGCAGCTAATTGAGGTTTGATCCTAATTCTAACATTATTAAGTTCAGAGAAATACACAGTGAAGTCACCATTTGCTGGCTGTTACTGAAACTCCTGTAATGCCATTAAGTTCAAAGTATTACCCACACAGCTTCAGCCCCCTCTCCCCACTTTTTTGAAAAAACCTTGTCCTTCCTGACATGCCCCCATCCCCCTACCTTATTATCTACAGCTTATGCATTTGTCTCTAACCATTCAATTGGCCCTGTCAATTAGGTTGTCTTAAGGCCACATCTTAAGTTAATGACTGAAATTGACAGTGAAACCCTAATCAGCAACCTGGGAAGTTCCACCACAACCAACTCTTACAGCATCTGCATATTGGGCTTTACAATTTACCTTGTTTAAGACTTTCAAACCACTTAAACGTTCTATTTATTTTATTTCTGCCAATAATGACAACAAAGAAACTAGAGTTTTAAGTTGTACTGGAGAATGTTAAACCAAGGAAAACTGCACCACTAGAAATATAACTCCAAGAGTAAAACAACAGTCACCCACCTGTGAGATTAATCTCTGTGTGGCAAACCTGGGCTGTCCATAATTCATCTGCCCCCACTGGTTTTGAGCCTGAAAATAACAAAACACTTATGGATAACTGACAGGGTTTGTTTGATCAAAGTAACTGATTTTTGGCTGTCTCTTTTTGTTATCATTCAGATGAAACAGGAGTTGCCAAATTGAGTGAAATCACAAATTTTATCTGTTTATCCATGCTTCTTGCAACATTATTTCTATAGTGAAAAAAAGGTTATTGTGTAAACACACTAAAAGCAACCTTTTTATCCCAATATCATTGAAGCTATTCCCAAGCAGGTTATGTGTATGATGGGCACATCTTGTTGCTCACTGGAAGTCAGTTTCAACACAGCATTCCCAGCATCAGAATCACTTTCAGGGCCAGCCATATGATGCTATACATGTGCTAGCTCTTCTGGGTGTTTTTTTTTTTTTTCAGTGTCTACCATTTATTACTAATAATGTGAGTTCTGAGAATTTAGCATTAAAGGAAACAATGTCACCTAGTTGATATTTTACTTTCTTCTCCTCACCTATCTATGTGAAGTGTACTGATTTTGTAAGGAGATTTACCTGTCGATCACCCATCATCAAAATTTGTAAATACTATCCTGACAAGACACTCCACATGGAGCTCTTAAGTTTGTAAGTTTATCAGATTGACAGGGAATTTCCAAGTAACTAGCAGAAATTGAGTCTGAACATGCAAATACAGTGTGGTAAAAAATTAAGAAGGACCACATCTTTTCAAAATAATCTGATAGAGTTGCTGGGAAGTTTACATAAATATGTGTGTGAGAAAAAGAGGACTAATCTCACTCCCTGAGCAATTGTGCAACTACAAATGCACTGTAACCCCTCATACCCAACAATAGTCAAATTAGGGTTGATGTTGGTTTAGAGGAAGGGTACAGAGGGGTACAAAGTACGGGCACATACAGCTGCTCAGACACTGACAATCACCAATATAGATGTAAGTCAAGCATGCAAAAACCTCCCATAAAGAAGTTGCAAAATTTGGAATTTTGAACTAGGGTGATTTATACATATGAAGGGTATAGAGGTCAAACAACGAGAGATTTGAGACACAAACCTGTCCCATCATTGCCTGGGGACCAGGGTGATAAGGAGGTCGAAATCTTGCTGTAGGGAAAAGAAAGAAATTTAGCAAATAAGTAAATCCTCTACAGAAAGTTTGCAAAGAAGTTAGGGTTTCCCTGGATGTACATTTTAAGTGAAGTTCACTAAGGTTCTCGGAGAATTCCTAAGGTCAATTTGTATTATTGTAGCTTACTTGGAAGTCTAAGAATTAATACAAAGTATTTAAACCAGGCAACATTGAAATGGTGAACAGGGAGAAGATAATTGAAAGTTACAGAAAAAATTAGAAAAGTACCGTAGTTATTCGACTATAAGCCGAGCGATTTTTCCACAAAACTTTACCAAAATCTCGAAAATTTTAGCCGGAGAAGGGTTCTCGGCTTATAGCCGACTGTTTTTCCAAACACAATTTTTTCGAAACACAATTTTTACGAAACAGCAAATTCAAAAGAAACATAGATATATTCATCTATAAGCCGAGATATTGCATGCAGAAGTAAATAGCAAAACAAGTTCAAGTTGGTCATTGACTTTAAATGTGTGGTTGCTTCCAAAGGAGCGGTTTGTTGTTTTCGGCGCGTAGTANCTCAGTGTCGGCGTGGAATTCGTCGTCCATCTCCTCATCTGCTAGTTCTGCCGTTTATTCCGAGTAGGTTGGTTTATCTTCCATGCCGTCTGGAGTATCAGAGATTCTGCAGGTTTTGAATGAGTGTACAGAGCCTGCGAAAGTGTTTTAAAATTTTCGAAACCGACCAATCAAAATTGCCCATTCCCACGATTGGTAAACAAACACGTCGATCGTCACATGTTACGGTGTTGAAATTTGCGATCACGTAAAAAGAAAACTAATCTTGGCTTCTCTGCTCTGTAAACTAATCAAGTAATCTCTCATTCAACCGCGGATATTTCTGAGTGTAACGGCCCATCTTTGTGCGTTTCGCTGACATCTCGAGCTCTCCATTAAAGAGATTTTCTTGATCTTTCCTCGAGCCACTCACTGATGACTGTACTCTCTGGTTATCTCGGAATGTGTTTTCGACCGCAATACTGCATTGAAACTCTTTTCTGTTTCGAAAATTTTGCGATCATTTCAGTTTGTTGGAGAACAGAATTCTCTAATGTGGTCTCGGCTTATAGGCGATATTTTTCCGATTTTTTTCGTAAAGTTTACACCGACTATGGTGTCTCGTGAGTTTAGGGTCTCGGCTTATAGCCAAGGTCGGCTTATAGTCGAATAACTACGGTAGTGGAATGTGCCAAGACTTTTGACACTCACTATAGTCTGTCTGCACATTTTCTGAGGTCCTCCCAGAAAGTGTTAAAAAAAAATTATCTTCCATCCTTTATTTTAGTCTCTCCTATGTCATGCCTATGAAGAACATCATCACCTGTATACCACCAGTATGACATTGAATACTAGGCCCAATTAAATGGCTACTGAAATTGAACTAGGATCTATCCTGAGCCTAGTTTCCATAATATACAGTAATTTGAGTTGAAGCAAATATCATATTGCAAAATGGGCACATGTAATTTACAAAATGAAAATCTGTAATATGCAATATGGGGACTTTTAATTTGTAACATAAGGTTCTGTGTGGAAAACTCTACCAATTAGAAGGATGAATGAGTCACCACAAGTGTGGATTGTAAAATATATGCTGCCTGGCAAATGATAACAACCATTATTAATGCCAGAGATTTTATTTTCCAAATTACAGATTTTCATTTCATTTTATTTTGTTCCGTTTTGTTTTACAAAATAACAGTGAGCCAGAGGAACAAATAAATCCTACATACATCCATCGGCATCTCAACAATTACAAGCACCTCCAACCCTCTAAACTGAGGTTTAAGGTTTGGTCCTAAATTAATTTCAAATAAAAGAAACTTTTCCAATGAAAGAAAGCGAGGTATCAAAACCGATCTTTTACAATATACAGTGAGGAACTAACAATTTTTGAATGCATGTATTACTGCGAAGGAGCCCTCAGACTCTGCTTAGTATGGACTTACTGTAACTGTAATTGTGAGCACAAGAAAACACTTCAGACGAAACTATCTACACAAACTTCCTGTAAAAACCTCTTACCTGCTTGGGCCAATGCGGCTGCCGAACCACCCTGAAAAGGCTGTGACAACGGACTCTGGTTGAACTGTCGGAAATTTTGCGCGACACGCGGTGAGGCTCCTAGTGGCATAGACATGTGTCTGCTTTTGTTTTGTCTAAACTCACACGGCTCTTTGCACTGATACCCCGGCGTTTGATCAAAAATTAATCTTCTTATGATACTTCTTTTTTTCTTCTTGTCAGATCCTAATTTAAATTTTGTATAAGGGATGAAAGTTACGCCCTAGGAGTGAGAATTAACTTCAAGGTTCTAATTTAAATTTCACACACGTCATCCGCCATTTTTTTTTCCTTCAAACCCTTTCTTGAGCATGCGTTAGTCGGCGGAGACCAGATTAGAATTCGCGGGCTCATTATAGTCTTTTCTCCACGACCGAAGTGGTTTTTACTCTGACCTTAAATGATCCTACCGTGTAGAAAGCAAAAGGGAAACGAAAATATGAATAACTAAATTTTCAGTAGAACGTGACAGACGTACTCGTGCTAGTTTCACTAAAATCCTAGCAAACTGTGAATCAGAAGAAAGCTTAATAAACGCAGTTTACGATAAAAATATAACTTAAGCGAGTTTTGTCTTTTAGGAAACGTCAGGAGCCGAAGCTTTGAATTGATCAGGCCATTAAGGTTAAAAAAAAGAACCACAAGGGCTGCAATTAAAAAGCTATTTTTTTTCCCCAAAAGCCCATTATTATTGTTTATCGTACATAATATACAGCCAAGCAGTTTTCGGATAACAAAATTACAGTCTCTTTCATGGAGGGCAAACAATTTTAAATTACAGTTAATAAACGAGCTATTTATAACATTGAAATTTCTGATCGTATTCAAAATAGTACAATAAAGACTAAAAGACTGACTCAAAGGCCATTTTCAATATTTTTACAAAGACGGGTGACCGGAAACTTTGACATGACAGTCATCGATCTTTATCAAAGAATAATTTTCCTACTTAAATAATATACAATAAATTTATAAATCCTCAATAAAAGCGCTACTATAGTATTAATTCATTTATTTCTATTAATTTTAAGTGATTAAGTATGTTCTAACTTAATATTTTAGATCGAAAAAAATCTAATCAAGCTGGTACGACAAATGATGTTGGTTTTTTAAAATTTTCTTAATTTTTTTTTCGGCCAACTCGTGTCGCGACAATTGTCAAGTAAATATTTCTTGACAGAGCTAATAGATAAAAAACATTATTTTCTCATGGTTGCCTCACAAAAAGAGTTCAAAACAGGCATAAAAGCTAAAAATGATAAAGTCAGAAAACGGAATGAAAGTGTAGCGTTTCAAGAAAAGTAATGAGCGTGCGCACTTGCATAAAAGCAAGCCACCTTAAAAATTTTACGGCGAAAGGTTCGCTCTTTTCATTTTACAACCACTTGAAACAATTTAATTTAATATCAATTCTATGATCATAAAAGGTTTCCTCGTGAATTTTTGACAAAATACATTTCAGCGATAAAAATATGGGTCGTGTAGCAACGTCTGCCACAAAACATCACTAAATGAATTTAATAATATTTTCACCATTCTCTGTAAAATTTCCGCACCTGATGTTAATAATATTACGAAGCTGACAGTACACCAGGCTATAGATACGAAGTTTCAGTAATTATCAATTACCACGAAAACTAAAACATAACTATCGGTAGAGTTTCTTTCTTCGTGCTGATGATTATTGTTGTCTTTCTCGGGACCTTGGGACTGAGAGGTGATCCCTTGTGATATTAATTTCCATTTTCTCTTTGAAATGAAGTCCTCGCATTTTAATCTGAAGCTGTTATGAGCATTGTCAAATTGCGCTGCGTTCATTGTGAAGCACACAATACCACCTGAAACACAAAAATAGGGAACAGAGAAAATTATTTCGTTTAATCACGGATCAGATAATCGACATTCTCCCCCCCCCTTAGAGTACTAATAGTCCCTGCTTTTCGTCGAAGTCGTCGTGGGCCTCACTCCGAGATCCAGAATTCTGCGGGGCGCACTGAAATCCCTTTTTTAAGATCTTTTTCGCTTGCGCGACGAAAGCGCCCATAAGCAAGGACTACTCGTAGTGTACACCCCCTTGAAGGGATGAATGCTAGCCCACTGCGCAAAGCTTTAAGGCAGTTACCACTTGTGAGAAGAGAGGTGCACTGATGTATTTTAAGCTTTGCCCGATAACATGGCCCAGTGACCCCCCCAGGTCATGACATCGCACCGCTAGATTACCTTAATAGTCCTTTTTACAGATGTGGGCTTGGTGGCCGAGCCTTTGAACAGGGGTGAGGCTAAGGGTGACCTTGTTATGATAGAGTTTGGATAAATCAACGAAGTTGAAATGGTAAATTGGCCACCGTAACGATTACAAAAGCTGACGTTTCGAGCGTTAGCCCTTCGTCGAAGCGAATAGAGGAATTGTGGGTTGTGTGTGCTTTTAAAGGCAGAGAATGGAGCTACGTTATTGGTGGGAACGTGGATCAGATATTGGTTCCCACCAATAACGTAGCTCCATTCTCTGCCTTTAAAAGCACACACAACCCACAATTCCTCTATTCGCCCCGAAGAAGGGCTAACGCTCGAAACGTCAGCTTTTGTAATCGTTACAGTGGCCAATTTACCACTTCAACTTTGTTGATATATCCAAATTATTTCGTTACTCCCACCGACGCAGCCCCAAACAGACTCTTTCGAAACTATCAGCCTTTATTCACTTTTTATGATAGAGATGTTGCTGCTTTTCATATGCAAATTTTTTTGTTATCATGCTAACTAGATACAGGTCTCTATCACAACAGGGCCACCCTTAGCCTCACTCCTGTTCAAAGGCCTGGCCACCAAGCCCACAACTGTAAAAAGGGCTATTGTACAGTCAGTACTTTTTACATATAAGGTAATTATCCAGATTCCTTTTTTTAAGGTCGGCATAGATGAGCTGTACATTCTATTCACTCTTGACAACATAGAAATAGTCACCTGGCTTGACAAGGCGCAACATCTCATCCATTGCATCAGGGTCCACTTCGTCTGGAAAAACGCCATCTGCGCAGATCATGGCATCGAACGCACCAGTGGCGCACAAAGTGGATTCTGCTTTCAGAGCAGTGTAAAGAAGGTTTCTGTAAAGTCCACTTGCCTCTGCACGATCAAGTCTCTCTTTAGATACCGTCAAGGCATCAATGTTGGTGTATCCCATAGAACGCAGGTAAGACGCGGTTGAACCTCGTCCTGCGCCCGCGTCCAGAATGCGTACAGATGTCCTCTTCCTTGGAAATGCGTCTAGCACAGCAGCATCAAAATAATCCGTGCAACTAGAGCAGATATTAAAAGCGGGGCATTAATACCTATTAGGGGATTACGGATTTTTTTGCTAGTTTCATTGTCTTAGAAGCCTTTCTGTTGTAAGAAGTACAACTACCAAAGCCAAAGGCGAAAAAAAGCAAATTAATGACAAGGACGAATCTTTATTTATTCAAGCGTATGTCGGAAAATCAAAGTGGCAGTACTCTCACAATTAACATTCCATATGTGAAATAAAATGCACTCATCGAAACTTTCCGTACAATAAGGTGAATTTCATATATTCGTTGTGTTTGATCTATCATCGTTCGGGTTTATCATCGTTCGGGTTTATGCCTACTCACAGTTGGCTTGTTAGCTCAATTGCTAGAGCGCTGCACTAGTATCGCAGAGGTCAGTGGTTCGAATCCTGTACAGGCCTGAATTTTCTCACAATTGCTTAAATAGTGCTCTTTACTGCGAGGATCGTGCACAAAATACGTTTGTATAACCGCAGTTCGGATATATGAATTAAATTCGCTGTGTTTAAATAAGGTGAAAGTCAACCACATAACTTTTTACAATTAGTTCCAAATTCTTAAACACCATATTGAGATTGTTAAAAGATTTTCTATATCCTGGAAAATCTCCTGTTATAGATAGCTGATACATGGGCGTAGGAGTGGGTCCTTGGGTGCTCATAACCCCCCTCTTATGGGATAGTTTCTCTTTTTTTTCCCTACAGCATACAATTCTGAAGAATCTACATAGTATAAATTTTTCCAGTTCCATTTAATCTTCCCTCTCGTTACATGAATACAAGCCCTTTCAAACACAAGGAAAGGCAGCGTGCTCGTCTAAGCTACTTCAGGTGAGGTGTACAGAAATTGTAACTGTCGTCTCTCCCCCCCCCCTTTCCCTTGGAAAAATCTCAATCATGATGCCACAGGCCTGGCAAGATTCGAAAAGGTAGAGAACACTAGCATTTCAATGCACTTAAAGGGATTTTCAAGCCATGATGTGTCAATTATCAATTTTCAGTAATTTGTTCGTGGCACCATACATTTGTTTATGTTTCTCTCGTCTGTATTCCATGCCATCATATTAATTTAGTGAGCGGTTCGGTTGTGGTCCCGGTAACGGAGCTTAACCAAGAGCAAGGGCTAGAACCAGATTAAAGGGTTGGTAAAGGAGGATCAAGATCACGTTTCATAAATTGGTCCTTTCATAATTCAAGGATATTGTTAATTACTGTCGAAACCACAATCAAAGTCTCGGTTCACGACGAATTAAATACTTCTTTCGCATTTTACGGAGAATTATTTTGGAACATCACGGTTCACGGCTACTAATGAAATCACGATTCACGATAAAAAACCAAGCCATTTCACGTTTCACGGAAAAAAATAGGTCATTCACGAATCACGAAAACACCCTTTACCACCCTCAGACATGTTAACCGCGGACTGCAATTCTCCTTGTCAGCATCATAAGAATTGTAGAGAAAATTAATGGAGAACAGAAAGTGGAGAATGCGTTTACTGGTGTTAGCGTATTAGGGTTGAGTGGGCTTATTTGAAGAGGTCCTCGTACAAAATAGCCCATGACAGAAAAACGGTGTAGTGACTTGGGTCAATCGTGGTCAAAACTTGTCGGGACATTTTCATTGTTTAGTTCTTATTAACCGAGCGGGAGGTCTGTATGGCAGAATCTTGACCAAGGTCGCCAGTACAGACCGAACGCAGTGAGGTGTGTACCAGCGACCGAGGTCAAGATTCTCTCATACAGACCGACCTAGCTCGGTTAATAAGATGTTTATTATATGGCTGTGTCTTATATGCCATTTTTTAAATATTCTTTGTACCTTTTTTTTTTCTAGACCGGTCTAGATGCCGGTCTAGATGGGAAAATCTAGACCGCTTTCAATATTGATTTCAGCCAATCAAATTCGTGAATTCGGTAGTTCCCAGTCCTTGTGAGACACAGCCATATAATAACCATTTATAAAGCCCTATTTGAAATATGTGACTTATATTACCTATTGCAAAAATCATTCTCAGGAGAACGTTCCAAACTCCCATCTCCCCTTCCCTTCCCTCTCCCTTTCACTCCCCCCCGTCTAGTGTTCGGGACCGCGGGGGAGGGGAGAGGTGGGGGAGGGGGTTGAACTATGTTCATTTTACATCGCTTTGTTGTTACATGTTCCAAACGTCGAGGACCGTGGTTTAATACCAGGGTCACAGGACTCTTTTACGTTAACTCAAACAAGTTTCTATGAATCCTGAAACACCTTTCATTTCAAGTCAACATCCAGTACAAACCAGTAAACTTAATTGCTTAACTATTCCACCACAGATTTTCATTATCACGTATGATGCACGATCCTCGCAGTAGATAGCGCTATTTATGCAATAGCGAAAATCAGACCTGAAAAAAATCAGGCCTACACGGGACTCGAACCACTGACCTCTGCGATACTAGTGCAGCGCTCTACCAATTGAGCTAACAAGCCAACTGGGAGCAGGCCGTTAAGTTGATTCGTAATAAACCCGTGAAAGTGATCAATGAGATACAATGATTCAATGATACAATGATTCATTGTATCTCATTGATCACTTTCACGGGTTTATTACGAATCAACTTAACGGCCTGCTCCCAGTTGGCTTGTTAGCTCAATTGGTAGAGCGCTGCACTAGTATCGCAGAGGTCAGTGGTTCGAGTCCCGTACAGGCCTGATTTTTTTCAGGTCTGATTTTCGCTACTGCATAAATAGCGCTATTTATCTACTGCGAGGATCGTGCATCATACGTATCTAATACCGCAGTTCAAAATATATGAACTTCATATATTCATTGTATTTCATTTTCATTATCAGTTTCTAACGCCACATGGATGGCTACAAAGAAATTTTTGAGTCGAGCGATCGTCGATTGTTTTGGTCGATAAGCACTCCAAACTGTGGTCTGGTTTAAGTATAATAAAAAGAGGTAGTATTCACTTCAAATAATCACGCTTCGTTTATTTCCTCTTTTCAATAATTCATTTCCTGCAAGAAAGTCGGCCAAAGTGTTTACATTCGGAAAATATCACGTATGTAAATTCACGAATTTCATCTTGATAGGACATAAGCAAATAAAAATATCTGTGCTTAATCATCGATGAAACAGTTCTTGACATGAATTTTCAATTTAAAATAGTAGAGGAAACTCTCCATTTTAACCCCATCTGATCAAGAAAAAGCTCGAATTTGCGCTCTATACCAAACTTGCACTCGGTGTTTAGCGCTGGACACTCGTCAGTCGTAAGATACAACAAAGAAGTCGATTTCAGTCGACAATTTCGCTCATTTGCTCATACAAATCAACGAGTTATAGTATTCAACGATACCGTATGCCTCACCCATGCTGTAAATTTCAAACGAGTGAAACACACTTCGCTTGAATGAATAAAATCAATTGAAACTAACCTACAACGCTCCAGTGATCGCTTATTCGTCATGCTGATTTCCCCAAGCGATATGGTCAGCTATGGTTTACCGATCCCCAAAGGAAATGCTGTCAAATCCCAGAATTACGTAGAGAAAAATATCAGACGATCCTGCGTGGTGTTTTCACGTTTCAAAGCTGCTACGATTCACTTCAACTCACTAAAACGTATTCAGGGTAAACACGCGGCGTCGATAACTATTTTAACCCTCAGTGAGTGCGTGACGTCACATCTACAGCTCATAAACTGGTGGAGATTCTCTGTCGAATCTCGTTTCTCATTTTCAGTTTAAATTATTTATCCGCTGGAAAAAACCTGATTGCCATGTCAAGAGCTAGCCTAAAATTAATTTTTTTTTTAACCAAAACAAATACAAATACAAAAAAAGATGGTGAACCATTAGATATTATGATAGTAATCGTTACTTCGGATTACTTCAGAATACTTCATCTTCGCCCTTTCACTCAAGTGTACGTGATAACGGAAAGGATTGTAAAAGTTTCAAGGAAATAAACCGATATTTGCGAAAGCGGAGTAAACTGCCAAGGTCAACTTAATTCATTTTCTGTCAGAAAACACAAGCAGTCCGTGTCACTGGTCGGATGTTCGACTCGTGTCATGATCACGTGTTCCACATGTGCGTTCTCGTAGTCTCACTTGTTGGTCACGTGGCTTTCTCGACGAAATGTTAATTTTATGGTGAACGTAATCCTCGACGCTTATTTTGGGTCGCCTTGGATAAAAGATACTTCCAAAAGAAAATTAACCAATTCAGCAAGGATTTCACGTTAAAATTGCAGCATAGGTGTAATTTCCTGTATGTAAAATGATAGGCGTCATTTCATGTCTGTAAGATTGTGGAGTTGATTGAGTAATAATTTGTCGCACGCGTCATGTAGCTTGACAGCTGAGCAGAAGATAAGTACTTCGGAAGATTTAAGAACACAGAGGAAAAATATTCCTGAACCTTAAAGAATGAACACAGTCAGTATTCTCTTGACTAAAAAACGACCATGGTCTACTTACTGGCTTAACTTTGAACTTTGTAAGACTCTGGTTACCATCTCGACTTGACACGCGACGAGGGACTCCGCGAACTGGTGATATGTTGTGACAGCTCAAGGTTCGCCAGAACAAAGGACGTGAAAACTGAAAATGAGCTTATTAAAACTAGTACTGTTCGGTTTTTATCTTAATTATGGAAGGTTTTTCTGTGTGGCTTTGCAACAAAAGGCTTTAGTTAACGGCAAAAACGGCGTCCTTTCGCTGATTATTTGACTTCGTGTTTGAATAATTCAATTATATCGCACGCTGTCTATCTACTCTCACTAGTACTTTGTACTTTCCCACATTCGAAATACGTCAGAATCGATAAAAGCGGCAAGGAGAGCGGACCGTCATCCCTTGCGTACGGGAGAGCAATGAATCACACGTGCCAATGAATTGTATCAAATCGTGCCGGAAAAGATGCATGCAAATTCACGAATTACCTTGCAACACACAGTCTCGTTCGCAGCCGTTGTTTGGGCCCGTCACGCAACGTGGGGGAGGGAGCGTTGCGTGACGAGCCAAAAAACAACGGCTGCGAAGGAGACTAGACAACACGACAAAGTTAACGAATTTGTAAACACTTATCATAAAAATTCTTTCTCTTTGGCCATCGTAGCTTGATAAGAAATAGTACACAAACTGCAGTTTCAAACAGGACAGTAAAACGCACGTTGGAAAACAAGATTAGTAAACTTTACTTGACGTTTCGTATGTTTCGACATACATCTTCAGATGTAGATGAAAAAATCAATTTAGACCAAACATTTTTTGCGTTGTTTACAAATGGCTTAGGGTAGATGACCAAAGTTCAATTTGTGTCATAATTATCCAATATAAAATATTACCGACGATCTCAGATTCCAAAATAACTTGTACAATGAGTAGCTAGTACGCTAATGGAGGTACTCCTAGAAAAAAAATTATTTTTCTTAACTTTTCCAAGCCTGGCCCATAAAATCCTTACATACCAGTTTATGAACAAGGAAACTGGTCAAGCCGGAAATTAAGGGTGCTCCTCGGATGTTTTTTCCTTTATCCACGCCAGGTCCCTGAAATCCTAACATACCAGTTTATAAACAAGGAAACGTGGAAACCAGTCACGGCAAAAATTAGCTTTCTTAATGACCTTGCCTCGATGTTTGGTCGAAGGAATGAAAAAAAAAAAAAAAAAGCGGATATATGGCCTCAGATTCGTGGGAAGAATCAATGCACAACCTAAGTTCTAAGTAGGAGACTGATATTACACTGGTTTTACTAAATACTACAACCAGACTACTACTAAAGAACTTCCATTCTAGAAATCTAGATTTTTTCTTGATTGAATGCGTAGGGGAAATTTTTTTTCTTCAAATAGAGGGCATTTTACTCTTTGAGTCAGCGAAGTTTTCCTAGTAGATCCGAAGATATAGATTTGGTGGCTACTGCCACCTATGGGAGGCGAACCCACATACGTCGCCGAGATAAGTGAGTGAGTGATGGTAACAACAGAATTCTGATCTCGACCTAATCTTGACACGATGTTTCCCGGTGCTACCAATTAATTGTTTCTGAGTACTGCAGAAGACTATAAACATATCGATAATGATCGCTGTTGTGTGGACAGAAAACCGGTTAAGTAAAGCCTGCGGGAAAGGGGGTGAAACTTGGTCAATTTTAGCTGCCTCAACAATCTATTCTTTGGCCAACCATAGACCCTGTCGTTGTCACTTTGGTAGTACGGTGACAACTTCATAACCGCGAGTTTTCCTATTTTTGAATCCCTACTTACCAGAATTTTATTACCCCCAAAAATCCCGAAAATAAGCGACCCCACTCGAATAACTATCGACAACGCAACCCCATTATAGTAAATCCAGTCGTTAAAATGCGACCCCATCCAGTGGCACATCCCCATTAGCCTATTACTAGGAAGTACTCCCCCTGGAAATAAGCACGGGGCCAAAGATACGAAACTAAAATTACGGATTGCCAAAGTCATTCGGTTGAAATGATCGCTTTATTTTACAACGGTTGGTTTGACGGGGTATTTCCAAAATAAATTTATCTTTACCAAAAAGCAAATGAGATGGACAATTAAATTGGAAAAAAAATACTAGTAATTAAAACATTCGCATTATATGCTGCCAATCTTGAAGGAAAACACCCAAAAGTAAAGCACACAGAGGTATTTAAGTCAGAGGGGTTCCTGACCTGTTAAGGTAGCTATGTGTTTACTTAGAACCAGTAAAATTTGAGTCAAATCTCAGTGCCGCCAAATGAAGCTGTGAACAACCCTAACACGTTAAGTTACACATTCAAATACTACCTTCATCTCAGAAAAACCTAAAATAAACAAATGACCATGAAGAAGAGACTACCAGTTACTACTAAAACATTTCAACTACTAGAAAAACTGGAGTCGCTAAAGGTTTGTCTACGAATGGAATAAACACGATGATTCTTGCACGCGGCGGAGAACGTTCGTTTTGTTTCACATGACGTCGTCACTTGCCGCTCATGTGCTTTTTTTAACTTTCTTGGCTTTGTTCTTCTTTTTCCCTTTTCGTTGAACTCTCTTTCCTTGAATTACGTTAACTTTATCTTTGATGTGTCCTTTCCTATTATTCTGTAAAAGAATAAAAAAGGTACAAATCACGGACTCGCTGAGATCCACTTGTAAATTGGGTGACTAACAAGTCGACGAGGTATGGAGAGAAGTTAAACCACAAAAACCGCGGAAAAGGAAGAGAGAAGGCCTTCTCAAAGCGCAGAAAAAAAAAAAAAAAAAAAGGTAAAGAGGCTGCGAATCGTCACGTCTTCAAAAAGAGCGGGAAAACAAATTTATCACGAGATAGATTCAAGGAAGGTCTGTAAGTAGCACATACCCTTCTCGGAATATATTTGGTTTTGGGTTTTAAATTTGATGTCCTCAAAGGTACTTTGCTCTTGACTCGATTTGCATAATCTTTAACCCTGAAAATACAAAAAACAAAATTGTTTGATCACTACGTTAAGTAAATACAACTTGAAGTAAAGAGGTATACACTTTAATACTCAGTTAAAAAGGAAAATTCAATTGACTCAAAGTTCACTGCTTTTCAAGTAATTTTATCGCAACTAGACGACGTTTGATAAAGGATTACTTTGGTTTTTCTTTACATCGCTTTGTAATTGGTTGTTAGAGAATTCGCGCCATCTTCTCAACCAATCAGATGCAAAAACTGAAGCTAACCGCGACACGACACGACGTGGAAAGGAATGACAATGACGCATCAAACCAGTCGCTAGATACTTTCACCTACCTAATCATTCTAAGCAACAGATGGCAGTCTGCGGCCTTTCCTTATATTCAGGTAGTTCGGCAAACCGGAAAACTCTTGAACAAAAGTTTCTCTTTCAAATCGGCACTCTTAATCTCATCGCTATCAGTGAACTCTTTTCATTCTACTAATTCATTCTTGTCTTTCTCGTTATCCTGTTCCCACCAATAGCGTAGCTCCACTTTCTGCATAGAAACACACACGCAACCCACAATTCCTCAATTCGCTCTGAGGAGGGGCTAGCGCTCGAAATGTCAGCTTTGAAATCCTTTACGGTGACCAATTGATAACACCAAATTCGCTTTTTTCCATTTTTTTTTCTTTCAGTTTGCCTGTTTTGAGATTTCACCGGCTCGTTATAATTTCTACTTCGCTCTGATTGGCTATTGCGATGACTATGGTTTTTATTTAGTACACTCGATCGAAATAAGCGCTACTGAATAAACCAAACAAAACAGAACCTGTCTCCGTAAATTGCCCGCTACAAGTTTGAGAAAAAGAAAATTATTTGGAACTTAACAGAAATAATAAACTCTACTGAACACCAGTGTTTCCTGAGAGCAACTTACTTGTAAATCCTAACTAACCAATGCTCGGAAGTGAAAGCTTCCTCTAAATGTTCTAAATGGAAGTTTTTATTTCCGATTTCTACGTTACGAGTCCTGTCAAAACCAGACGGAGACCGAAAGTCCAGCTAAAAATAATGAAAAAATAAATGCGTTAAATAAATGATAAAAAGTGTTGCTTTCAAAATGGAGGTCGAGGTAAAAAAAAAAAATGCTTAATCTTAAAAAGGGCATGGCCATCGCAACCCTGCGGTGTTGGCGATTGTCAAATGTATTCCGGCATGCATTCGCAACATTTTCGTAGAGTTTCCCTTTTTCGCGCTCATAAAATCTTCGAAGCAGATAACTCTGAACCTTCTTAAACGCAAAGTCAGTCAAACAGGCCCCGGTCGTTCAAAGGGTGGATGATGCTTTCCACTGAATAAATCACTATCCAGTGGATAGTGCAGTATGTTTTGTTATTACATGGCTGTTTCACAAGGACTGGGAACTACCGAATTCACGAATTTGATCGGCTGAAATCAATAGTGAAAGCGGTCTAGATTTTCCCATCTTGACCGGCATCTAGACCGGTCTAGAAAAAAAAARKGTACAAAGAATATAAAACTTTGGCATATAAGACACAGCTATATAATAAACATCTTATTAACCGAGCTAGGTCGGTCGGTATGGGAGAATCTTGACCTCGGTCGCTGGTACAGACCTCACTGCGTTTGGTCTGTACTGGCGACCTCGGTCGAGATTCTCCCATACAGACCTCCCGCTCAGTTAATAAGAACTAATTAACACTTGTCCACTAGATAGCAATGTATCCGTTGGAGAGTGTTATCCGCTATTTAATCAACTGGGCCCTGGTGGCTAAACTATACATGTTCAACGCCAACAAATTCGAACAGTTTACCTGCATCTCCCCAAAGCGATAATAACACATTTTGTACATGAGACAGTTGAGAAGGACTGGTGACCCGGCCGAGTCCACCCGGAACTCGCCTTGTGGAGTGAAGTAATCTGACTCCTGCAAACAAACATACCGAGACATCAACTCGAAGAAACAAGCAAAAAAAGAAGGGGTAGGGGAAGTGCAGTATGGGACGGGGGGGGGGGGAGGACTGGGGTGGTAAAAGAAGGGAGCAATGAGGTCCAGTTCCCCCTTCCAAAAAAAGAAAGACACTAAAACAACACAAGTATTGGAACCCAAACCCCTCCTGCAACGTACGGATGCTTATCAATGCATTATAGTCTTGATGACCGTGCGCCAATTTTCTCTTACGTTACGGTTAACAAATCCGCCGACTACCTCATTCTTCTTTATTAGGCTCACAACCACTTGTAAGATTTCATGCTCAAAAATAAAACGAATACCCTAACATAACCACCACGATACCGCCACACTCCATTAACATCTGACTACTTAATTTCATAAAACTTGATTTCTTTCTCAGATCTTGAAACTGAAGATAAAGACTTCTTTACTTTAAAATTTAGTTTGTGCACAAACCCTAATCGAAACCCTTCCACACCCAAGATCTGATTGTTGATTCCATCTTTTCGCTGTTACACATTTTCCTGTAAAATAGTTACAAGACTTTCGTATTTAATGAAGACAACAACTTCTACCTGATAAGTTTGAGTATTCTCATTACCTGTTTGCTGGGTAATGTATGAGCAGTACAGAGAGAAGTTACTCATGAGTCACTTCTGTGAGTTTAAAGGTCTAGCGAGAGGTATCTGAATGTGAATGCCCCACATTTTTTCAATCAATAAGTCGACCGAAAACCAACTTCTCCTAAGCAATAATAAAGAAATTTAAGATAGCTAGCGCCAATATTTCAGATTCTGACTAGCCTTGATTTCTTGAGGATGCTCGCCTTCAGCAATTCTGACCATCCAAAGGAACTTGTTTATGTCATCACCAGAATAGCCAATCACACCACCGAATATAACCAAGACATAATCCACATCCAACATCTTCATTATCTTATATGCTGATGTTTCATTGGATGACATGGCCTTTCCCACCTGATAATCAACACGAGAAAATCAAACAAGGTCCAAAAAGTCACATCAGATAGAGGGCCTTGTCTTGACGTCTGATGTGAACACTACCAAGACTTAATACTCGCTCAGAAACAAACAATCAAGACAATGGATGAACCCGAAATGCTTTCACTCCCAAAAATCCCACATTAATTTTCCTTACTGTCTGTCATACATTTTAATGATTTCATCAATGAGAATTTGGTTTCCAATCTAGCTCTCTTCTAGTTTGATACTTTCTGGTCACCTTTTTTTCCTAACGGTACATTGATGTCATAAAGGAGAAACTGTCTATTAACCTCTCCAGGGACTATGAGGGTCTGCTGGTCGACAGACTTAGTGGCGTTTAAAAGACGAACTTCATCCACGCTTACAACTAAACAAACTTGCTCCAAATATTTCTCATCCACAATTTGCAGGAAAAAGCAATTACCAACTTAATAGTGAAAGTATATATATATGTTGTGATTTGGATATATCAACAAAGTCGAAATGGGAAATTGGCCACCGTAACGATTACAAAAGCTGACGTTTCGAGCGTTAGCCCTTTGTCGGAGCGAATGACGAAGGGCTAACGCTCGAAACGTCAGCTTTTGTAATCGTTACGGTGGCCAATTTACCATTTCAACTTTGTTGATATATCCAAATTATTTCGTTACTCCCACCGACGCAGCCCCAAACAGACTCTTTCGAAACTATCAGCCTTTATTCACTTTTTATGATAGAGATGTTGCTGCTTTTCAAATGCAAATTTTTTTGTTATCATGCTAACTAGATACAGGTCTCTATCACAACAGGGCCACCCTTAGCCTCACTCCTGTTCAAAGGCCTGGCCACCAAGCCCACAACTGTAAAAAGGGCTATTGTACAGTCAGTACTTTTTACATATAAGGTAATTATCCAGATTCCTTTTTTTAAGGTCGGCATAGATGAGCTGTACATTCTATTCACTCTTGACAACATAGAAATAGTCACCTGGCTTGACAAGGCGCAACATCTCATCCATTGCATCAGGGTCCACTTCGTCTGGAAAAACGCCATCTGCGCAGATCATGGCATCGAACGCACCAGTGGCGCACAAAGTGGATTCTGCTTTCAGAGCAGTGTAAAGAAGGTTTCTGTAAAGTCCACTTGCCTCTGCACGATCAAGTCTCTCTTTAGATACCGTCAAGGCATCAATGTTGGTGTATCCCATAGAACGCAGGTAAGACGCGGTTGAACCTCGTCCTGCGCCCGCGTCCAGAATGCGTACAGATGTCCTCTTCCTTGGAAATGCGTCTAGCACAGCAGCATCAAAATAATCCGTGCAACTAGAGCAGATATTAAAAGCGGGGCATTAATACGTATTAGGGGATTACGGATTTTTTTGCTAGTTTCATTGTCTTAGAAGCCTTTCTGTTGTAAGAAGTACAACTACCAAAGCCAAAGGCGAAAAAAAGCAAATTAATGACAAGGACGAATCTTTATTTATTCAAGCGTATGTCGGAAAATCAAAGTGGCAGTACTCTCACAATTAACATTCCATATGTGAAATAAAATGCACTCATCGAAACTTTCCGTACAATAAGGTGAATTTCATATATTCGTTGTGTTTGATCTATCATCGTTCGGGTTTATCATCGTTCGGGTTTATGCCTACTCACAGTTGGCTTGTTAGCTCAATTGCTAGAGCGCTGCACTAGTATCGCAGAGGTCAGTGGTTCGAATCCTGTACAGGCCTGAATTTTCTCACAATTGCTTAAATAGTGCTCTTTACTGCGAGGATCGTGCACAAAATACGTTTGTATAACCGCAGTTCGGATATATGAATTAAATTCGCTGTGTTTAA